GATGCAGCCTGCTGTGCCTTTGTTGAGGCAACTTTTTGCTCACCTAGTGGCCTTCAATTCTCAGCATACCACCGAGCAGCCTTTTCTCTGCTGCTCACCAGTACACCAATTCCTGGGTTCAGAAAGGTGGCCTTCTGGATCCAAGCTGACCTGTTGTCTGGGTGGGCTTCTGGCTTGGGCCTGTGCACAGTTGGGCTGGTATCTAGGTGTGCCTCTGGCTAGGGGTCCTATGTAGCTGTTGCCTGGGAGGGCCTTTGGCTAGACATTGTGCACCCCAGTTCTTATTGTGTGAGCAAGTTTCTGGATATGGTCTCGCACACTTACTGATGGTATCAGGATGAACTTCTGGCTGTTGCTTGTGTGCCTGTGCAGGTCTTTTCCAGGTGGACCCTTGGCTTGTGCTTGTAAGTCCCAGCCTCTAGGGTCAGGGTAGAGCCCTGGCTGGGATATGCTTGTAGCCAAGCTGCTCTAGTCCACACCACTGCTCTCCCAATTAGGTGGTCTGATGTGCTTTTATTGCATAGATTTTCTTTGCTTTTCTGGTGGGCTTCAATTTTCATCAAGGAGCCTCAGAGAGGCCCTCTTTCTGTTGTTCACTTCTTGTCTATATTCTTGAGCTCAGAACAATGTCCTTTATGACCCCTGTAACTCTGTGGTGTGGATCCAGGTAATGGTTCAGTACAGCCATGGGGTTGGGGGGTTGCTGGGGCCCACACAACTTACTCCCTCAGCACTAGGTATGGGGCTCTGCTCCTTGGCACTCTGGAGCCATGGTATGACGGCCCATGTCACTCAAACTTATTTTAGTTTTCTATTTTAAATTCTTTTTCTCTGTCCATTCATTTTTCTGAGGAGTTAGGCTTTTTATCCCTTTTTAATATCTTTCTCTTTAGTTTGTTTCCCTTCTTTTTCTCTTTTCCCCTTTCAACTTCTTTTTTCTGCCTTCTTGTCTTTCATTTTCTGTATTTTAGTTTGCTTTAGTTTTCTTTTTTTCTTGTTCATTCTTTCCCATAACTGCTTTCTAACACTATCAATTTCATTTATTCCTCGAGAGGAACCACATCTTACTTTTCTGTCTTCCTTCTTATATCCCATTTGTTAATTTTTCACATTTTACTCTCTTCATTCTCCAGTTCTGAACCCCATCCACTTTTGTAAGTAGAATATTAAGCTTTATAAATCTCTAGCTCATTTATGCTATTACTGTTGAATACCATTCTATTGTTAGTGAAGGTAAAGTTGATCGATTTAGTAATATGTACTATATATCAATTGTAAGTCAATATCTGGGTTATGTTAGTGATCATACTATAGTTATAGATCTCTTTTTTATGATTAAGGGTGGTACATTATTGATCCTTAGGGTTTGTCAATATCCAGTTTGTGTTTGACACTATTATTGCTGCTGATTTTATTAGTATAGCAAGGTGACACAGTTGTTGCTATTAATTGGTTTTCTTGGGACTCCAATATCTGGGTTGCCTTGGGATTATTAACAATACTGTGGCCCATGCCAGGAAAGCTGAGCACTAGTCCAAAAACACTGCAAGTACCTCTGCAAGTACTCAGAGATAGTTGGACCCTGGGATAGAGACAAGGCCAATAGTTCGGCATACACAGAGGTCACCACTAAAAGTAGATATCAACTAAAGAGTTCTCCATCTTAGCAACAAAGCTCGCCAGTATAATCAGCTCACAAGCCTCAATACAAAATTAAACAAACAAAAAAATCCTCAAGAAATAAAAATATGTAAGGACAAGGCAACAAAATGCCTAACCAAAAGCTTATGCATGAAGCACTGAAGAGGAGGAAGCCAAAAGCCACATAGACAAATAATTTGTCAGGATAGAAAAGAAGATAACAAAATAGATCAATAAGGCTCTTGACAAACACAGAGAAGGTATTAACAAACAGATAATGGGACAAATAAATAAAATGTTCATCAAATGTTCAAAAAATGCTAAAAACAAGCTAGCAAAACTAAAAAATGATGCAAAATATGAATGACCAGGATAGAAAAAAAATTAGAGTCCATAAAAAGGTTCCAAATAGAAATACAGATGATTAAAAATTCTGTCCAAAGTATGGACATCAGAAGTGACCGCCATGAACATAGAGTGTCAGAAGTAGAAGACAGGGCTATTTTTGGTGATAAATTAATCAGAGATACCTTAAAAATAAGGGCCATGAAAAATGGATACAACAACTTCTAGATCACTCAAAGAAGACTAATTTAAGATTAATTGAAATTAGTGAAAAAACAGAATACAGCACAAATGATAGTTTTTAAAAAACATGTTTACTGAAATAATAGCAGAAAACATTACAAATAAGAGAAAGAAATATAGATATAGATATAGATAAGTGAGGCATATGGAACCCCAAGTAGCCAAAAAACAAAAAACCAAACAAACCTCCCCACAAAACACCATAGTCAAAATCCTGGAAGTCCAATGAGAGAATACAACCTTAAAAGCAGTTACAGAAAACCAATGAGTAACTTTTAGAGGTAAACTCATTACAATTAGAGCAGTCTTCTCAACACAAACCTTAAAGGCCAGGAACTTGGAGTAAAGTGTTTCAAACCCTAAAAGAAATGAGTTTCCAACATAGTACTGAAACATTGGCAAGAGCAATTAGGCAAGGAAAAGAAATAAAAGGGATATATATAGGAAAGAAAGAAATCAACCTATCATTATTTGCAGATGACCTCATTGTCATACATAGATATCCAAAAGAAATCAACCAAAAGATGCATAGAACTAATAAGCAAATTCAGCAATGTAGCTGGATGCAGAGTCAACTTCCCCAAATTCCATAGCATTCCTGCATACCATGAATCCACTGAGAAATTAGGAAAAAATAGCCCCCACAGTAGCACCAAGAAAAATTAAATACTTAGAAATTAACCTAACCAAAGAAGTGAAAGACCTCTACAATGAAAACCAAAGTATTCTGAAGAAGGAAATTGAAGAGAACATCAGCAAATGAAAAGATATCCCTTTTCCTGGATAGCCCAAACCAATATAGTCAAAATGGCCTTACTTCCAATATTGACAAGCAGATTTAATGGACTCTCAATAAAAATACCACAGCATTCATCACTGCACTGGAGGAAACAATTTCAAAATTCATGGGAATCAAGACAAACATAGAATAGTGAAAACACTCCAAGGTACCAAGAGCAAAAGGAAGAGCACCAGTTTTTCTTTCTTTCTTTCTTTCTTTCTTTCTTTCTTTCTTTCTTTCTTTCTTTCTTTTCAGGTACCAGGGATCAAACTCAAGACCTTGCACTTGCAAGGCAGGCATGGTGCCACTGAGCTGAATCTCTGGCCATGGCATCACATTTTCAGATTTGAAGCTATACTATAAATTGCAGTGATAAAAACAGCATGGTACTGGCACAAAAACAGATATGATATCAGTGGAACAGAATAGAGGATACAGAAACAACTCCAAACACATTCAACTGTTTGATTTTTCACAAGAGGGCCAAAAACATACATTGGAAAAAAGATAGCCTCTTTAATAAATGGTGCTGGATAAATTGACTATCCACATGCAGAATATTGAATATAGACACATTCCTCTCATGATGTAATAAATTAAAATCAAAATGAATTGAAAAACTAAATATTCAAACAGAAACATTTAACCTGCTCTAAGATAAAATGGATAAAACCAGAGCTAGGTGAGGATTTTCTGAATAGAACTCCAATTGCATAAGAAATAACAGGAAAAATCAACAAAGGATCATATTAAATTTAAAAGTTTCTGCACATCAAAACAAGCAGAGTAGGGAAACAAACTCCTCAGAATGGGAAAAAATTCTTTCCAGATCTTCCTTAGGTAGAGGATTAATATCTAGAGTATATATAGAAATCAAGTCAGGCTTGGTGTTACATGCCTATAATTTTAGCACTTGGGAGGCTGAGGCAGGATGACCACCATGAGTTTGAGGCCAGACTGCGGTACATACTGTCAAGGATTCAAGGCCAGCCTGAAATACGTAGCAAGACTCTTGCCTCAAAAAAGAAAAGAAAACAAAACAAAAACAAAGAAATCCTATAAACAATTATACCCTCACAATAAAAGACTCAATCAAAAAAGGGCAAATGAAATGAGTAGATGCTTCAACAAGGAAATATAAATGGCCAATTAATACATGAAAACATCACAGGCCATTAGAGAAATGCAAATTAAAATGGATGTACCCAAAGACAATAATATTAAGTAAAATAAATCAGACACTCAAGCTTAACTATTGCATGGTTTCTCTTATATAAGAAATCTAAGTAGGGAAGTAGACCTTTCTATAATAAGAAGACCAAGAGGTGGAGGGAGGGGGAGAAAAAGGAGAGAGAAGGGATGAAAAAAAAAATTAAGGTGTGTCATGTGCACGCATCAACTGTGTGTGAGGAATATAAACATTATGCACTATTTACATATACTAATAAAAATTTTGTTTTTAAATAAATAATAAATAAATAAATTTCCATTATTTACTTCTAGCATTCTATCTTTGAATCCTTTGGTTTGAAAAATGGCATTCCAAGAAGGAAAAGGAAAATGAGGAAACAAGGAGTTGGATTCACTAATTATATAAAAACTTTTTGGAAAAGTGAAGTTAAATATATGATTCAAGCCCCCCAAAAGCAGATTAGCCTTGATATCAACATTTACTACATATATGAAAAAGATTTTTAATATCATTCACTAGTAAATAACTGTATTTTTAGTATTACTTCAACATTTCTAAATCTGAGACTTTTGTCACTTAATGCATTGCATTCATTGCCAATTAATGCATATGTTATTGTGGTAGAGGGCCACATCCTACTTTTTACATACAGGTTAGACATTCTTGCCAAGTAAGTAAGATAACAAGTAGTCATTATAAGAAGAAAGAACTCAAGTAGAAAGAAATTACCAAAGGGTTGAACAAATAGTAACTTATGAAAAGTTAACTAAACATTAGGTAGAAATTCTAGAACCTTACATGTGCCTTTTCCCTCTTGGCCTCATTAAAATTCTTCTGCTGCTTTATACCTTGGGTCACAATGAGCTTTGAAGGGACTGGGTCTAATGAATTTCCATAAAAGCGCTGAAAACAATGATATTTTTGCAAGCTTCTATGAACACGAGGGTTCTCAGACTTTCCTGAAAAAGAAAAGATTTAAAATGCAACATGACTGTATTTTTCAACAGCATCACTACTAATCCTTCACATTATCCCACACTAACGTGTACTTTGCTTTGTAGTATGGAACACTATTTTAACTTGATTACTTTTGTTATCAGGGAATCTTTTTTTTTTTTGGTACCAGGGATCAAACTTGGGACCTTGCGCTTTTGAGGCAGGCGCCAGAACCACTGAGCTAAATCCCTGGCCCGAGGGAATCTTAATTCAGACCATTTCTTGAGTGTAGAATAATTTCATATCTTACTTAAAGGGTAAAGGTAACAAAATATTTCTCATGGCCTATATCCAAAACCAAAATTTGGGGTACTACAAAAATTAACAGATTCTGGGCATTACTTCTGTCATATGAACTAAAAATTAGATTTAGGAAAAGGTACAGGCAGAATCAAGAAGAAAATAATCTAAGCTATACTGACTTTTCACATCAATGAGTAGAAAAAGTTGTTACTCTGAATGTAAAACATGAGTTTGGCACCTTGGGAAAAACCCAATGGCACAGGAAGGACCAACAATCAAGGTCTGACTTACTCCCACACCCTCCAAAAATGTACAATACTCATCTGCATGCGTAACTATGCTGGTTTATTTCTCTGTCTGAATCTAAACATACCAAGCTGAACCACTTAGAAAGTCGTGAATAGATAATCTACCATAGCACCTCACATCTTGTAGGATTCTGACACATTGACATAAGCAGGCTGATAAGAATTTCCAGGGCCTAGCTCTTATGGAGACAGGGGCCATATTTGTGTGCTTCCAACTCTGAACCTACGTATGAACAAAGCGGGTATTTTCTTTATTGTCTTTCCTAATGTACATCAAGGTATCTTGCACACCATTCTTATTTAAAATATTTAATTTCTGGCTGAAAATGCGATCATTTTTGTCTAAAAATAGAAGGCAGACAATGAAATAGACTAAGTCTCAGAACTCACCAGCAAAGTTGCTTTTAGTCCGATCATAATCGTCACTAAGGGGTCTGTGAGAATGCCAGTGCACGAGCTCATCGAACTCCTTCTGTTTAACCAGCGACGTTACAATAGGATCATCACTGTGAGTGAGAAATGCACGTTGTACATTGCATATGTTTCCTCATACAACACAGCACAGATTTCATTTAATAATAATAATTTTGAAGTCCATATCTCCCTTCCTCCTTCTGGGATACAACGTGGGTGGTAGAACCCAAAGAAGAGTTTATTACGGCTCAAGAAGCCTAAACCGTCTGACATCTCTAACTGTCCTAACAACATCAATAAACATTCACTATTAATTAACTAATTAGAAACATGTAACTGGGGTAGTTTACAATAAGGTTAAAATCCTACAGATGTATACCCAGTTTACTCAAAGGGCATTGACATTTTGGACGTTAAATTCATTATGTATTACAAATATATATTACATTAATGTACTCTAATCTGCTGCATTTCAAACAATCCTTAATAAATAACTCATTGATCCCATATAAACATTTATTCAAGTATATTTTTAGCTCATTACCTCCTTAGAAAAGGTAAATCTTTGAAAATGTCTCCAACAAATTTATCAACCATTTGAGATGACATTGGAATAAAACCTAAAGTAGGCATTTTTTCCTTGGAGCTTTCTGTAAACAAAACATTAAGATAAGGTCAAATGTAAATTTTTCGTACAGGAATTTTATATAACCTTTTCTGGAAACTTCATGTTAAAAATGTTTTTCTTTACATTTATAAATTCTAGCCCTTCCCATAAAACTATTTCCCATATTTAAACATTTTGGAACACAAATGGGTGGAGGAATTGATGAATAGATACATATATACTTCTGCTCCTTATTTTCAAATGTTTATTTCTTAGCAGAGTTTGATTGTGTATACCCATAATCCCAGCACTCTAGGAGGCTAAGGCAGGAGAATCAGAATTTTAGGTCCAGTTTGTACAACTTATCAACTCAGCAAGACTGTCTCAAAATAAAAATTAAAATAGGAGTGGGGAATAACTCAGTTGGAAGGCCCTTGGTTCAATCTCCCAGCACTGCATAAAAAGAAAATCAAACGTTTATTTCTTTTGTTATTCTCTGTTGTGAAAAAAGAACTTTTAAAATCGAGTGTCACTCAAAAAGATAATACACACACACACAGACCTTCATGAACATGAAAAAGTAGGGAAAAATAAAAGTGGCAAAGAAATTATTTGTTACCATTACAGTACTCCTTGGGTTCTCTGATTTTACAAACCCCCACACACAGTCACATGCACAGTGGATGGATAGATACATAGATAGATAGATAGATAGATAGATAGATAGATAGATAGATAGATAGATAGGATGTGTCTGATAATACTGAAATGGGTTAGTGAATGAGTTTTGATTCAATGTCTGGTTCACAACTTCAGGTAAACTGCAACTGCTCTGTCTGCTGTCCTGGCAGTGTTCAGCGGGACTGTGTTTGTCCTAACATCTTCCTCTTGTAAGCCCCTGAAACCTTGCCTAGTACTCTTCTGCACATGCCCATGTGAACCAGGGTAGAAATGTTAAGGGCAATCCTCTTCCAACATCATGACAGGAGTTGGATGATAAATATCTCAGCCATCTTGCTTTTCAATAAGACACCTCCAAGGCAACTTGTACACTCAAGTTTCTCAGGGAAATTTACCTGTAGTTGCCCACAGCGCAAACTTATTCGTCACTATGTCTTACATACTTCCAGTTCTGCGCTAACATTCCCTTATTGGATCTTCTTGGGATCAATAAACTACATAAATTCAATGGTTTTTGTCTGATAGAACACATTTAGATGAAAGGAAAGAATATATATGTTCTTCCCCACATTTCTGAAAAATATCCTTCTACCAATACAACCTAAGTTCCCCACAGCTTTCTTCTCATGTTTCTTCTGGATCATATTGTTCTTCTCGAAATTCATCATACAGGCATATTTTCAGTGGGTAAGTGTTGATGAATAAATCAAGTTATATTTTTCTGAAGATGCAGATTACATATTACTCCATTTTTATTTATATGACTATGAATTATATTTACTTCTATCATACACTGACATTTATTATTACTATTGGGAAGTGCAGAGGACCATAATATTCATTATGCCCAAAGCAGTCTGTGAAGAGTTAACCCCACAACTGGCTTGTTTATAGAAGTGAGTCTGGGTGAAGCCTACATGCCAAGGTCAGAGTAACACAACCAAATTCCATTCCCACGACTAAAATCTTCAGACTAGAAGGACAATGTTCTAATTACAACCACATATTTTGTCCATTCCGTTCCTAATTAGAGAATGCTTTGTCTTGTCCTTTATGAGCCTTGTTTACATTAATTTCCATAGAAACCACACATTGCCTTTACCCCAATTGTCAATAAAAGTCAGTGCCTGGCCCTGGCCAGCACCTTTGTCAGTTACATTGGCATTGGTCATCCTGGCACCCTGCTTTCTCTCTCTTAGTTCTGTCTTCTAGTGTATTTTTTTCCTCAGGCTTACATCATATACTGGGCAGGTGGGTACTGGAACCTGACTACAGGGGTCTCTGTCAGGGAAGTCCATTATTAGTCTAATTTTTGTTCCTTTGGAAGTTTGGTTCTTTTAACTTATTTCTTTATTTTTGGAATTCTGCAATTTCACCATATTTTGTCTGCTAGATGTATTTGTGAGTGTATATGTGTTTAATTTATCACATTGGGATTCATAACACATCTTGAGTGTTTAAATTCTGATCTTTTATCAATGCAGGTGAATGTCCAGTCTTTATTTCTTTGAAATTTACCCAACCCATATTAGCTCATTCTATCCTTCTGAATCTCCAAAAACAATCAAAGGTTAGACTACTTCCTATCCTTCATATTTCTTCACATTTTTGTTTCTGTGTTATTAAATTTTTATTGTATATATTTAAGGCCTGGTTCTCCTTTGAGATTAACTATAATTATATAAAAAGATTTTGAGTGTCTCAGCTAGCATTTCAGGCACTACATCATAATCTCATATTATTACCAATCTTATTTTTCTTTATTTCTTTGATTTTGTGCTGAATGACTAAAATCTATACTTTTTCCAACTTAATAGTATACAGTGCAATATTTAACATTTTAACTGCAGGCCTCATGTACACAGTAGCAGTCTATGTTTATCACTCTACACACCTGAAAATTTGTTACCCTTTGCCTACATATTCTCATCCTGCAACATACCTGCCCACATCACAGATAACGTTGTACTCTATGTTCTTTGTTTGCATGTATCGATTATTTTTTCAGATTGCATCTTTAAGTGGTATTGCACAATATTTTTCTTTCTGTCTCTCATTTATCTATCATAGCATAATGATTTTTATCATTTCTGAGCAATTCTTTCCATCTGTTTCAAGTTTATAAATTCTCCTTTTACCAATATCCAATTAGCTTTCTATCCTATTCATTAACAATATTTTTATTTTTTATTTTACAATTTGCTTTTTAAAAGTTCATAATTTTGTTTAAAGTTTGTTTTGCTTTTTTACTTTATTGGTACACTTTAGATACATAATGATAATGTGCATCATAGGGAATTTGTACCTGTACATGATATATCTTGCTGCTTCTTCTTTCTATTTGACTTTTCCAAGTTTGATTATTTTAAAATGTGAATGGCACTTTAAAAGTCTCTACTTATTGTCTCATTCTTAGAATTCATGTTTAATTTTCTAAATATTTTAACACAAACGTAATATATATGTAATAGTTATGATAATTACAAAATCCAAAATATTGTACTTAGGAGTTCCAATATGGTAGCTTACAATTCTCTTATGACTTAGTTTCTCATTTTTTTATAAATCTGTATTTGTATTCATATTTAACAGAAAACTCTGTAAAACAAAGTTTTATAACTTGTTCCTCACAAGAACTTGCAAATCCCTTGTATCCCTTTAGATTAAATTTCTAGCTCAGAGTTGCTTTGACCTTACTAACAGTTTAAACTGAAACCCCAAATTATCAGAGTATTTCATTTTGTTCCAGGCCCGGTGAGATTTGTTTGTCACCTTCCTCTGCTGAAAAGCAGGTCCTGAGAGATCTAGCCTTCAAGGTTTGCTCCAAGAATCCTGGCTTTGTGTGGAGATGTCAGTTACAGCAGCCCCTCCCTCCTGGCCTTCTCTCTTGTCCCCTCCCAGGGAAGCTGGGACCCAGGACTCTGAAGCACTGACAGAGCAAATGCTCCCAGGGCAGCAATGGCCTGGGCCCTGACTGTCACAAAGGGCTGCTCCTTCTTCATTCCTTGCTCCCCCTAAAATATTCTGTTTTTTAGTTTATTTTTATTTGCAAACCATCTCATTATGTTGCACAGTTTGCTCTCTGGGGGGGGGGGGGGTTCAAGCGATCCCCAGCCTCTTGAGTGCCAGGAATAAAGACTCACACCACCCAATCAAATTCAGTGGTTAGATTCGATCTTGATCTTATGGGAAAATTTGATTCATTCTCCTCTGATTCGGTTTGTGATCAGAATTGTGGCATGAATTAAGTTCATGAACTGAGATACCACTGTATACTTACGAGTGTATACATATGAATATATTAATGTGTGTGAAAATATGAATATATGTGAATATATATGTATATATGTATATGTGCCACATATACATATTGGTTTAAGGGAAAAACAATGGCAATATTGATTATGAGCAAAACATAAATCTTCAAATTACAGTCATAGCACACCACTCCAAGGGTATGACAATTATCAAAACACACAGCATAAGAAAATTATTTATATTTGAATATTGAATTAGTTGTCTCTTAAAAACATTTAGAGGAATAATGCTTTTATTTCAAATTAGATTAGGAATCTATTACCTTTGATTGTTGATGGATTCTTTTCAAGAAACTGAAGTTCGGTTGTTCTCACAGGAAATGCCTTTCCCACATTGAACTTTCTTACCAACTTTGACACAGTCTCCCAGAGATGTTCATAATCTTTCATAATGGCATTTCCCAAGTTCAAATGTAGACCTATAAAACAATTAAAATTACCTAGTATTGGGCGGGAGATTTAGCTCAGTGGTTCCGCTGCCTGCCTCTCAAGTGCAAGGACCGGAGTTCAATCCCCGGTACCAAAAGAAAAAAAATTACCTAGTATTAAGAGATATTTACACAAACATAAAAGCACACATTTTGATTCAATTCATAGAGCTCTGAAATACATGTTACATAGTGAAATTTTCAATGTTTTCCACACCGGACCTAAATGAAAATGGTAGACTTTAAAGATAAACTTGATTTTTGTTTGATAACTAGGGATTAAAATTGTAACTATAATAATAACAGATGGAGAATAATTTGTTCTTTAAGATAATAAATATATTATGCCATATGTAATGTTATGAACAATAAAACTAAATAAAAACTGTGATTTTTGAGATGGAAAATTAGTAAAGAATAATAAATTTACATATAGCCAATTCATTCCAATGCTAGACAATTAGGAAATGTTCTAAATGTCAGAGAACCATTAATAACAGTTGTATCTCTCTGAAAATGTTTTGTTTTTCTTCAATTATTAAAAAAAAGCAAAAAAACCAGGAAAGTGGCAGAGGAAATATTCTAAGAAAAAATTTAAAAAAGCAAAACAAATTACATATATATGTCATATATATATGGTTTTTTTTGTGTGTGTGTGGTACTGGGAATTGAACTTAGCACCTTGGGGTTGCAAGACAGGTGCGGTGCCACTGAGGTAAATCCCCAGCCCTACATGCTTTACTTTTGAAAAAAATTAAAATTTCCTAAATAATAGGAGTGAAATGGTTACTTTCATTAGAGAAATTTTATGGAGAAATATTATGTATGCACACAAATCAAAAAATTGATGTTAAAATTATCTGGAAATATCAGTTTTTCCAAAAATTCTTTAGGAATAATATTAAGAAAATAATATTTTGAAATACAATATTCATTCTGATTGCAACTAAGTAAAAATTACATATATAAATGAACAAATATTAAAAAAAAGAATTGCTATATCTAAGTATATGAAAATTATTTTAAACTTACAGATCTTTTAGATTGCTTATCTCTGGTTTAAAGTATAATAATTATTATATAGTAAGGTCATACCTTTCACATTTTCATTTTCATAATACAAAGTGATATTCTTCAACAAAGGCTCATCACTTAAGTCAGAAAGATGAATTAAATTCAGATTCCAAAATTCCAAAACATTTGTATTACACAGGATGAAATATTCACACCACTTTTTCTGGAAAAAAAAAATAACATTTTCATACTAGCAATAAAATACAGAATGACTTTATGTATTTCTATATTCAAACCAAAGAGCAAATGAGCAGGTCTGTTCTAATTCTTATTAATATAATTTAGGCTGGATAATGATGAAACTTTATTCCTTAGAATATTAAAACAAGAAATGCAATCAAAACTGAAGAAAAACATGAATTCTGTATAGTGCTTTATCCTGAATCAGGGAAATCTGTAAATGACTCTAAATTATTTTTTCTCCTCACACTGTGATCCACAGAGGCAGTTTTGAAGCTACAGAAGCACTTCTGCTTTCAGATTTGCCTCTTTTCTTTAAGAGTCAATGTCTCCAATTGTACTTCCCAAAAAATTGCATATTTTTTATCTCTTTTTGCCAACTGTATGCCTTTTATTTCACAGTTTATTTACATATTGAGTTTTACATATAAGGGAAATCATGTTATATTTAAGTTTATATGTCTAAGTTACTTCATTTGGCATCATAGTCTCAAGGTGCATCCATTTTCCTACAATTGAGTCAAGTTTATCCTTCTTTACAGCACAGTAGTATTCCATGGTGTGTAAATACATTTTATTTATCCATTCATCTGTTGATGGAGATATAGGCTGTTTTCAAAATTTAGGTATAATGAATTGTGTTGCTATAAACCTGAGTATACATACATCCCTGTGACATTAGGTCTTCAACTCTTTTGGGAGGAGAAATATTTGGGTCAAATGGAGTTTCTAGTTTTAGTTTTTTGAGTAATTTCCATACTGATTTCCACAGTGGTTTTTTCAGTTACACTCCCACTAATGATGAAGAAGTTTCCTTTCTTTCCACAGCCTTGACAGCATTTGCTGTTGGTTGATTTCTTTATGATAGCCATTACTTCTGGAGTGAGGTGGACTCTCTCAGTGTTATTTTAGTTTGCATTTCTCGAATGGCTGTGATGTTGAATGTGTTTCATGTATTTATTGGCCATCTGTATTTCTTCATCTTGATAGTGCCTATTCATTTCAGATGCCCATTTTTTTATTATGTCTTTAAATTGGAGAGGTCAAAAATTTTTTTTAGTTCTTTATATGTTCTAGATATTATTTCTTTTTCTGTGGAGTATCTGGCAAAAAACAATTTCCTATTCTGTAGATTGTTTCTTCACTCAATTGATGGTTTCCTTTGCTGTGTAGATTGTTACTTTGATGTGATCCAATTTGCAGTGTACCTTAATTTAGTTTGTCTTATGTATTTATGTGGGGTTTTTTTGCCTATAACTCTGGTTATTAATCTGTATATATGACAATTAACTCCATAATGACCTATAAGATAAAAAAAATGAATCTGATGCTGCCAAAATAAGAGGGGAGTGTTGGGAAGAGAAAAAATAATTCAAATGTGTGATGTACATGTACCAGTTCCCAAAACTGAATGCAATTATTATGAACTGCAGACATGTACTAATAAAAATTCAAAATTAAAGAACAATTTTTTAAAAACAGGGAGCATATGGAAAACAACCATCCAGAGATATAAAAGCTGCTGAATTCTTCAAACTTAGAGATTCTTATTCAGCTACACAAGTTTTCCCACACACGTTCATGAGTGGGAAGCCTTGTTCCCACTGCACCCAGGCAGAATGTCCTCGTGACCTTCACTCCTGTCAGAGTAGAACAGACAGGAGCAGGAGCCTAGCCAGGGCTTCATTCTGTGATGTTGTCTGCGAAGGAAGTTAAATTGAGAGAGGAGACTGAGACTTTTCTGCCCCACACGCCCTTCAAAACAAAACACAGCTGTTCTTAAATTGTGAACAATATATTTATCATTATTGATATGGAGCTTTAACCTACCATTGTCCAAATTCAGTAGTGTGAATGAGCTAGCTGTTATTTTTAATTTGTTAGATGGCACATTTTTAAAACTGAAATTAATTTTAATAGTTAATTTTAGTAATATTATTATTTCAATATGTAATAAATACAAATATACTAACAGAGTGGGTCTGTAAATTTAGAAGGTCTTTAACTTTAGATAGTTTACATGTTTTTCATACTAAATTATTTTCTTTAAATGTATGGCACACCTCAATCCAGAGTACTCACATTCCAAGAGCTCACTGTCCATTTGTATCTATTGCCTACTGCATTTCACAGGCTGGCTGCAAACAGGTGAGTCAGAGAGGCTGCCCAAAGTTCATCACAAAGTTGTGAAAATCAAACAAGCAGGAACCTTCTAACTCTGCTGCAGTTTTATCTCTACAAATGAGTCACTAAAGAGAGTGTCACAGAGTCATAGAATGGTTGTACTTAAACTTCAGCATAAGCTTCACCTGGAAAGGTTGTTAAATGAAACACAGATTCCCAGGCTTCTGATTCAGGAGGTCTGGGGTGAGGCCCAAGAATTTAAAATTCTAAGAAGTCTCCACATTTTGCTGGTGCTGTTGTTCAGGAAATCACACTCTGAGAATCACTGTTACATAGGATGTTTTCCCTGAGCCCTTTCCCATCACTTCACTGAGTAAAGAGTAACATGGGAAAGCAGGACAGCAACTGTGTCTCAGTTTATTCACTTTGTATAAGAAGTGTCTCTCCTGTGGTCTCTGTGTGTCAGGATTCAAAATAACTTTCCCGGATCTGTCCTTTCTATGAGTTGTGCAGTTACTAACCACATCCTTTATAGTGAAATATTCAGAGGCTACCAGACGTTACGTTTCAAGCTACAGGATGCTTCCAAAACTCAAGCGTGGAGTAAGAGAAAGGCAGGAAGGGTGCTGTCCATGGAAAACCAGCCGGACAGAGCAGAAGTCACAACACAGCTGGGTCATGTGTTAGCTGTGCCAGTGGGCCACTTCAGCTTCCCAAGGCCAAGCTTTTCATTTGTAAAATGAGGGCATAACAGGACTGCTGATATGTCTAAATGAAGTAGGGGCAGTATTCGCAGAAGCAAATACAGAATTAATAAATACTAGCTGTGCTTATTGTTTTGAATGCCAGCCTTCTTAAAGACTAATGCTTCCAACCAGCATAAATAACAAGGAATGTCCCACAGGGCCAACTGAAAAAATTTCAAAATTTATAAAGACTTTTATAATGTCCTTTTATGTAATTCTTCCTTGTGCGTTAAAAACACTATGTAGAAAACTCTTCATAAATTACAATTATACACAGAGAGAACTCATTTAAATCTATAATTCAACACAACTATTATTATTCCATGATTGTGTACATATAATTTAACCTAGGTAAACTTGAAAAGGAAAATTACATATTTTTGAGAAATAAAATTCACAACAAAAATCATAGCATAATAATATTGATGCTATAATGCTTTATTTTAATTTACAACATGTAAAACTAGGCTTAATATATTAACCTGAAATTACTTATATTAAAATATCTGAAATGAATTAAATAGCTAGACATTAAATCATCCTATCCTCTTTTAATGAACCATAGTCTGTTGCCTATTGATGCCCTATCAAAATGCCTCTAGGAAATTTCCCCAGTGGGATTTCAAGTAGAGGATAGATTTTCTCACCAAACCATCAGTAGAACATCTATGGTATGGTGTTCACCACATTTAATATTTAGTGCATCACAGAACTACTTACACCATTCATTAGCACAGTTACAAGTGTACACAAATGCAGTCAGATATTCAATAAATGTGATTTTCTATACCTTACTTTCAGCTCCCAACCCTACAGGCCCAGTAAGCTAATAAAGTAAATATCTTCTAAGCACTACCAAGCAAAACTGTCCAACTCAATTCCACCTTAGTCAAACTCAGATCACCTCACTCCATCAATCTCCACACCTCCCATGCCAGACTTTGACAGGGGCATTTATGCAGTGGCATCCTCACTGCAGTGAGAAAAGGGTGCCCACTGCTCAGTGTGGCTGTCACAAGTCACTGCCCACTATTCTGCACAACCACACACCCAGGTCCTTGAATGGAGAATGAATGTCAGGGGTCATTTCCTTAGTCTCTCTCACCATCAACATTTACCTGACTGAGGCAATAATCACTTCATTTCTGCAAATCCCACTGTGTTTTCTCTACAATACACTGCTTGGCAAGCCAGGGAGATTTTTAAAAGTTAAAGTGCCGTTCTTCTGCTTGAAACCATTCAGTGTTTTCTCAGTACGCTTATGATCATGTTATACATCTGTCTCTTAACAGGACAACAGGATCCTACATGATTTGTCCCTTTTCTGGCTTAATCAATCCCCCATATTCTTTTCATTCCTCTTACAGTAGGAAGATCACTCTTCCTTGGTTATGACTTCCTCAGGATAATCACATGTGCTATTTTTTTTCTCTAAATCTACTTTGTATTCTTTTTTCATGCAGCTAACTCTTATTTAGCCTTCAGGATTTTGGTCACTTCAATTATTGAGAAAAAAACACTGAATACTGGATTGAATTTTTTATTATTAGAGTCTAATAATACTGTTAATTTCTCCATCATAGTAATTGTTAAAATTTATTATTTCCCTTCTCTGCAAAATATAGCTCTATGCTAGTGTTAGGATGGGGTGGATAAATGTGTCTCTTTCTCACTCTGTCTTCCAGATTAGCACAACATACATGCACTAGGTAAGCATGGACTGGCTCCCTGACTGATTTTTTAAAAAACGCCTTCCTTGGACATTTTGATTATGTGTGCCAAGATTCTTTTTTTTCTTTTTTTAAAGTCCATGTCAATTAGTTTACTTAATACCATTTCTGGATATCAAACTAAAATCAAAGACCTCAAATTAAAAGGAAAGGCTTGCATTTAAAAAGAATAAGAACATGCAGGCTCGCCCCTCAGGCCCCACCCTGCAATTGGGGGGCTGCGTGCTTGCAGGAGGGGGCAGGTGGGAAGGACCTCTAGATCCCAAGGCGAGTCTCTCCTGCCTGCCCCCGCCCAGGCCCCAGCGCCCACCAGGTCGGCCTGGCCCAGCCATGATCAAGGCGATCCTCATTTTCAACAACCATTGTCAGCCCAGGCTCTCCAAGTTCTACTGGCCCTACAGTGAAGATACACAACAACAAATCATGAGGGAGACTTTCTATTTGCTATCTAAGAGAGATGAAAATGTTTGTAATTTCCTAGAAGGAGGATTGTTAATTGAAGGATCTGACAACAAACTGATTTATAGACATTATGCAACACGACATTTTGAATTCTGTGTGGATTCTTCAGAAAGTGAACTTGGCATTTTAGATTTAATTCAAGTGTTCATGGAAACATTAGACAAATGCTTTGAAAATGTCTGTGAACTGGATTTAATTTTCCATGTAGACAAGATTCACATTATTCTTGCAGAAATGGTGATGGGGGGTGGTATTGGACACCAACATGATTGAAATTGTTACACAAATTAACGCACAAAATAAACTCGAGAAATCTGAGGCTGGCTTACGCTGTGCTGTATCAGATGTAAAGAATATGAATCTTCTTGAGATTCCCAAGGATTATTAACATTGGTGACATCAGTATAAAAGTGCCAAACCTGCCCTCTTTTAAATAAAATATAAAACAGGCCACTCCCAGGTAAAATCCAGGGGGAAAAGTCATCTAAGTTTACCATACAATTGTTTACCAAAAATAGAGAAGGAGAGTCTTAACTTTTGCTCTTGGATTTAAGTCAAGTTACTGTGTAGAAGTTGTGTAAAATCAGTATGAAAGTTCGATGTTGCTTTTCTTGCTTGGTGATTTTAAAGAAATTGTGTAGTTCCAGTGTGATTTGTTTTTCTTTTCTAAACTGCATTCCTATGCCCACCTAAGGCATGCCTCTATGTATTGGCTATTACAGTATTTTGAAAGTGAGGTATTTCTTTAATTATGTACAACCCAAAATGTTGATGTTTTGTATGGATCACAAGTGTAGCAGTCTTTAATTCTTTCTGCTGTTTGTCACAATTGTTAAAGAACCAAGTATGTGTTTCATGAAAACATTATGGCCTTTTCCTCTTAGTTTAAATAAATTCAAAGGTAACTGGATTTCTGAAGCACCTTTCTGTTTGCCTGATACCTACTTTAGCAATAACTTTATTTTACTACCCTCTGACTCAAAAAAGTGGATAAAGGTATATTTTATCACTGTTAAAAGAATAAGAACATTTATAATACAATCAAAGTTTTCTTTTTTTACATTCCATGAAAGAAAAATGATACTTCCACTAAAAGATAGTAGCCACTAATAATGATGGTAAAAAAGGTGCAGAATAAAACAAAACACATGTTTATTTGAAGAAAACACATGTGTATTTATAACATGAGGAACAACAGGAAAATCTAGGTATTTAGACTGAAGAAATAAACCAAACAATTAACAGCTGCCAATGATGATTTGAGTGCTGGGCCTCTGGAAGTATTTATTTGGACTTTGCTTTCTATTTTCCTAAGACTCCAAATTTGTACTCACTATCATTTATAATGGACAACAATAATGACATGTGACACTGATTTCTTCAATGTCACCAATGTTGTCCTATAGTTGATGACATAAAAACCTGACAGAGATTTAAGGAAAGAAAAATAAATTTTTTCCTTAGGTTATATATACATATATATGTATGTATGTATGTGTA